CTATCTTGCTGTTTTCTTGCACTAAATGACTTATCGTTCGAATGTCTTCTCAGTGGTTTTTGTATTTGTTACTCTTTCTAGGTGTTTTCTGTTCGTTTTGGTTGTTGTCATTTTTTGTGTTTACTTTGCTTTGTTTGTTTGTTTGGGGGTGTTTTTTTGGGGGGTGGGGGGTAGCAACGATAGGGGAGGGTGAACGATGGAAAAAAATAGCCAAAGGATAGCGACAGTTTACGAAAATGTTAAATCTTTGTCTGTAGTGCTACTTAAGGGACAATATGTTTGTTTTGATTTTATGTTTGGCTTGTTGATAAAAGCGACTTCCTCTTTCCCGGCAATTATCAACGTGAATTGTCTTCTGTAGACCCTGACTTTTGACACAACTGACGCATATATTTTCTAGGACAACTTTACAATTACAAGACAGAAGACGGCGGAAAAGTTTTTGCCTCCACCCCAGAGGGCGAGCCTAAAGATGACAACACTTACCTGGGTAAGTTTCACCAACTGTCTTCCAACCTGGGTTCTTCACGTGACCTGTTTTCCTCTCATGTCTCACAACAGGTCAGATTTACGAGTATGATGCAATCACCCATCGAAAGCTTGGCGAAACCGAAGAGCGAGCGGCCGTTTACGATTATGGTTATGCCGGTAAACCGTTTTTCCTGGAACTCTTGATTCGGTCGATGTGTTTTTCACATTTTCTATTTGCTTTTTTTTCATTATGCTTTTTAAATGTCCGGGTGCTGGTGCCACGTTATGGCTGTATCGTGTTTTCACTCTCTTTCTCTCTTTCGTAACGTTCTCATATTTCATTTCTTATTTGATGCCGCCTTGTATTTTGAAAACCTAATCTGTAACACATCCTTCTTCTTTTCCTGACTTTTATTATTTTTTTTTCCATTTTATTCCAACTCTTGTTTCAATATTTTTAAAAGTGGTTCTCAATGTCGTCAGTTATGGAATGGGTTTAGTTTTAGTTTTACAAACTGAAAACCGACGATTACTTTTGTCAAGAGAAAGTGTTAATACTTTGTTTAAAGACGTCAACTGCCTACTTTGTTCGTGAATAATTTGACATGTAAATGATTCGCCAAATACATTTTCAACTTTTACATCTTCGCGAACCTTAAAAAGAGACTGCTTTGATAATTGTGAAACTAGTCCCCATACTTACAGCACTTTGAATAATGTTAACCGTACCGTATGAGCATGATAATGAAATACGACTGGTTTGACTAAGATAACTTTCCATGAGTAGTTGGTTTTTTTTAAGATACAGTGTTGTTGCCTTCGTGAAAATTAGGTGTTGTTTTTACAGCATGGCTTGTTATGTGAACGCGTGATAATGTTACAGTACTTATGCTAGGCTTGGATAGAATAGATTAATGTACTATTTCCACCAGTCTCCCCACTTTTTCTGTATATTTTTTTTATCTTTTCTCCCCCCTCTCCCTCCCCCCCTCTCTCTCTCTCTCTCTCTCTCTCTCTCTTTCTCTCTCT